GGTCAAAGTCAAATGTAGACGGCCATCTTAGGCTGAAAGCACCATATCCCGTCTGCTCTGTGAAGTTAAGCAGCCTCAAGCTCGGGTAGTACTCGGGTGGGTGACCACCGGGGAAGTCCGGGTGCTTACTTTTTAGCCCGTTTTGAGCTGTTTACCGACTTTGCGTGTGTTTGCAAACGCAAGATATGATGTCTGGCATGTGCCCACACGACATCTTGGTTTTAGTATGCCTGGCGAGCCACTACACACGAGATCTTGTTTTTTGTATGGTGTTCTTTAATTTGATTATTATGAAGATGAAAGAGAACCGTTAGAACGGGTATGAAGGGTGTTCTAGGGGTGCTTTTCGGTGCTCTTTCACGTGGACATATCGCAGCATGCGACATGTCAGCGGAACACTGTCTAAATTAATAAATACTGTTTTGGCCGATTTCTAAAAGCGTCTATAAAAGGGCATAAGTGCAATGACTCGTCTTTGTAACCCTGCGGCCTAGGCGTAGTTTTTCACGGGGAATCCGAATATCAAAGGTAGATTTATGTACAACATGTACTTTTTTTGCAACATGTACTTTTTATCTACGGGACATAGACATATGTAAAAACACACGGCGGAGCCGTTCCCGCAATCAGAATTTGTCAAACTCTTCTAGATCAAAAGTTATTCAGCGAAATGTGAGACTTTGTTTGGCATGCTCTTTTTTTAGGTGGTTTTTTCCGGTTTTATGTGCCGCCCGGCAGATCTGGCCTGCAGACTTTAGCAGAAAACTTGGCGCATGTGTTCGCACGACCGCTCCCAAAGTTTTACAAGCATATCTCCAGTAGTTGCTTCGCAATGATTTTTTTAGTGACGCCAAAAAACGCCATTTTCGCGGAAAATGGACACCTTGGACGGCCAAAATCACCACTTTTGGCCATGTTTGGCCCTGCACATCCAGGAAGCAAATGAGACTGCTCCGTATAAAAACTGCCCTAGGGGTGCTTTTATGCGCGCATTCCCGTGGTCAAGTCAGATTTTGGCTAAATTCAAATGCCTTGTCTATAAACACTTTTTTCGACCTAAATTTTCACCTGTTTTGTCCCGAAATGATAGCACCCATTCTTTATTTGCCTATATATCGCGAAGGAGGCAACTTTTTTCCTGTTAAGTATAGATAAAAAATTTAATTCGGCGTTTTAGCGCACGAGGAACAAAAGTCTCCATACAAGCTACCCTCGGTTTCTAATGACTTTTTGAGTTAGGGAAGCGTGGATCTTCTTTTTTTCTTGTTTCCAGGACTTCACATGAACTTCCAACTCAACTCGAATTGTCATCCCGGGCCCACCACGCATCGAAACGACACTTTTCTCGGAACTGGCGAATAAAAAATAGGTCACCAGATGCGCAAGAGTATGGGATGACAGAATATCAAAACAATAACAGAATCGTTTAGTACTTTTTTTGTCACCAGCGCCCTTTTTCTGTTTTCGCGTACATAATCGAGCATAACTTTATCAATTTATACCATATCGACGGATATCGATTGTCACGATAGAGAACTTTTTTTAGGCGCACATGATGGTAAAAAGAACGGCCACCTATTTCCAGCCGTTCTTAAGTTATGCTCTTTTAAAGATTTTACTTTAGAGATGACACACCCTCTCATTTCACTCCATTACATGCTTTATTTTGTGTAATACGTGGAAAAGACGCAGAAATCATGGTTCGCAAGTCGAAACATTTTTGAAGAGCGCATCGAAACGGACATTTTCTTAAAATAACATGGTATACAAAAAGTGCGTTCTTGAGCCTGTAGCAAACGATTTGCATCCATGACATCCCAAAAACTTAAAATAACATATCTCGACTCCTAGAATGAAATCGACGTGAATCCTTAGGGCAGTTAGTGTGTTTTAGTATCATACTTAACACCACAAAGTTTTACGGGGCACTCTACAATACTCTTCCCAAGACGCAAGAAAATGTTCATTTTGGGGGGTCCTCTAACGCGAACTTAATGATAAAATACCGCACTTAGTCCATAAAATACGAACTTAGGCACTATTCGCACTTAGTAAAATAACTTCTCGCACTTAGAACGGGTAATTTATGTAAATTACTTTATGGGTGACTGCTGGGTTCTAACAAAACTGAAAGATACTGACTAGCTGCTGGCGCGGCGGTTACTTTTCCAGCTATAAATAGATGTTAAACGAGTAGTCTGTAACTGTCAGCAGTACTCAATTCCCGTCAATCTGCTGTAGATTAACGGGAATTTTTGTTAAGACGACGTAAACAAAAGCGAGTATCTTTCTTGTGACGGTTTCCTAGTATATGTGAGGTGACAAGTCGGTTACTGAGTGTAATTTTGGAAATGGCGTGTGGGTTTCTAAGATTATAGTTGGTTTTTGAGGCGTTACTTTGCTGTTTAGGGTGATTTCTCGGTCTTATTTTAGGATAAGATTGAGTGAACTCTGGCGATTTATGGTTTTTTAGATGTGTCTTTGTAGGAATAGTTCTGCTGTTTCTAAGACGTGTCTTTAAGACATTCCTTTAAAAATCGTGCGTTATTATTGCTTTGGGGAAACTTAGAGCGGTTATTTCGTGCGTGCAGAAATTGAGGTTGTACTCGTATGCTCTGCATAAGAATATAGCTTTATTTGACGCATTTTATGCGTTGCTCTGGGTATTTTGCGCTGAAGCGATGTGGAATTGCTGACGAGTGTGTGCTTTCGGGATAGTGACCTGACTGTGTGTGCTTGGATGCGAGGAAGCGTTTGCTGACGTTGCGAGGTGCTACATCAACGCTCTGTCGGTGCCGGTGCGAAGGTGTGTTGCGGTTGGTTGTATAGTGTTTCGTGCAGTTTTCGGATTGTGTGTCATTATGCGATACCTTCTGTGGTGCGTTTTGCGCTGGATTTTTTCGGTGGAAAGTTTCAATTTCGGGTAGAACCGTTTTTGATCTGGGGCTAGTTATGCGGCGTGCGGAGGGGACTACAACCCAAAGTATGCTGCGTCGTGCTCTATTATTCGCTTCTTGATCTACCTATTTTTAGGTGGAACTGTTGAAGTGAGGATCATATTTTTGTCTTTCTGTGCAAAAAGATTCTCGGCTATTAATGGCGGCTTTGAGAAAAGCTGCGAGTGGCCTAGCGACTGTTTCGGCGGTTGCGGGGCTGTTTGCGGCTGGCCTCTGTGTTGTTGTTTTGTGCTGGGGGCGACTTGTCGTCTTCTTTAGTATGGAGGATATAAACCTGGTTGATCCTGCCAGTAGTCAT